TCCAAGGCTAAAAAACATGGCAACACAACATTGCTTTCTTTCACCACCAAAACGCAGCTCATCTCACAGAATGACACTGACAAAGGAGGAAAAGGAAATACCGGTTATCTTAACAACGAGAATTTTAAAGATTTCCTAAATGTCATGTTCATCAGAAAAAAAGAAGAACTGCAGAAAACAAATCACAGATGTAGACTACTTGACAATAGACAAACATGCAGATGTGACAAATGAGAGTAATCAACATAATTTATTTGCAAAATTTAAAGTCTGCCAATCTTGTGTCACTGATATTTTAGTTGGATATGCAATCAGCCAACAAGAATGAAACCATTAAAGAAATTATTGCAATTTTTGTGGACTAAATGCATAGGTAGAGGGATAAAAAACAAAAAAATATTCAAAAGTGGGTAAGCTATAAAATGTATACAAATGAGTACAACCTACTGCTATTAGAATAACAAGTCAGATTTAATTTCTAAACATTTGAGCATCCAGCAATGATGCCAGCATTAGCAGCGAGTTTAATGTGGTAACAGGTAATTAACACAGTCAGAGTTTGTCCTCTACTAGAAGCAAGTCAGAATCAGCAGCAATATGACATGTAGTGACATTCCTCTTGTAGAGCTGTGCCGATCACCTTGTGTTTGAGTGGCTGACAAAGTTGGACATATGTGCCAAAACAATACAGCATTTTGGGGGCCACATAACAAAAAACATATTGCTGCTCTAGAACCTTTGATAATATCCTTGGACAAGCTGGAAAGAAAGAAATAGCCGTACTTTAGACTGATCTATTCGTATCCTGTGGACTGCACTTCCAAGACATTGCTGATATTCATCAGTCAATAACAACATACTGTACAGTACAGCATATGCATAGCATGTTTAGGCATTATATGGTTTAGAAAATTTATCTATGACATGACAAAGATCATGACAGATGTTCAACGTATTTCTTCTAAGTAATTCACAGCCACGACATGACAATGACTAATGTGGAGATCGGATCCGATAAAATTAGGTACTGTATATCACCCAATATGGATTACGAGGAGCTTTAGAGAGACTAAAAACGTATCAACATCAACACCTCCAAGCACAGCCATTTTGGAAACACTGATTCACATGAGAACATTTTATGTGACCACTGAGTCACTCATGTCATCGCCACTGGTCATGTTGGAGGTGTTTATCACTCTTGTGCAGCACAGCATTTGGGGCCTCATATTTCAGGGTGCAGCCAATTTCTCATGGTTTTTATTTAGGTAAAGGTCACTGTGGGCTGTTAAAGCTATTCTCCCTGCTGTACTGCATGTTCCCATCTCTCACACTGTCTGGTGATGAATTTCAGGATGTAGTCCTCAGAGGTAGGTACATAGAGTATCCCAATGTGGACATTGCTGTGGTTACCTTGAGCAAGTCAAGTTACTGGAATGTTCCACTCCACTGAGTTCTATAGAGCTGGTTACCACAGTTGAGGATGATGTTGCAATTGACCAGTAACCCATATACTCTCAGTCCTTCTAATGCAACAGATACAAGCTTAATTTATAGTCTACTGAGGATCTAGGGCAAAGTCTGAACATTACATTTTTACCTATCTCAGTACAACACCAGTAACTGTCATTCTTCTGGTTCATGTAGTCTATGACTCTAAAATAAGCTGGTAAAAACACTTCTATTTGGTTACAATGTCTTCTGAGAATAATACCTTCCACCATTGTTGTCAGTTATCATAGGAGATTAATAAGATTATTAATAAGGAACCAAAAACTGCACTAATCAGTTCATGTACAGTAGGTAGCTGTGTCAGCATGTGTAGGTTGCAAATGAACAGATTAAGGTTTATTTCATGCTGAAAAGAGAAGAAAAGAAACACAACATTTTGGCTGTGTCACACCCAAAGAAAGCTCCACAGTTGAAACATTGTGTTTCTTTTCTTTTCTTTCATCTCTTTCCAGCATGGAATAAACCTTTACTTCTTCCTAGTCAGTTCACACAGTGTACAGTCTTGTTAAAGTCAATAGCTGTCTGATTTCCCAGCAGAAATATCTGGACTTGCAGTGAAATTCCATTTCACAAACCTGAAATGAAAGCAAATTTGGAAGCATGCAAATGAAAGCAACACCTCGCCCTTATGAAAGTGTCCCGTTATATGCCAGAGAAAAACATATTGAAGTGGACAAGCTTGCACTCCCAAATCCCAAACCTCCAAGTTTGGTTGTAAATCTGCTTAAAGGTATCTGTTAGAATATGAGTTCACTTCTCTGGGTCTTTACTTAGTAGCCAAATCAATTCACATTGATCACGACCCTATACTGTATGTAAACTATATGCCATATTAACACAAAAAAAAAACGCAGCTTAATTAGGTCACGAATTTCAAAAGAATTTTTAGCTCAGTATTGTCCACTTACGGGGGACAGAATTTACGATTGTGTGTGAAATTGGTTTAGCACACTGGTCTCTGGGTGTGCAAAATGTTTTTTCCTCTGAAAAATACAGTAATAAAGTAGACCTTTTTTATCTTTAGAAGAATATATTAATCAAAGCACATAACTGAACCACAAAACTTACTTCTCTGTAGATTAATACAAAATCTGAATCTGAAGTAATATACTGTATATATACTGATTCATTCTAGGTTAATTCATCAGAGATCTAAGCTAATTAATTTGACAAAACACAATTCTTCAGGAAGCAGTAGACCTATATACTGTACTTGTACTAAGTAACAATACAGCCGAAGTGACAGGTAGGTTTGATTTGTAAAAGGCGATTAAACACCGCCTGATCATGTATTGTGTGCTAAACAATGACCAGACATTCAGGGACACCTAGATCTTCACTCATCACATGTTAGAGAAATGCATCTCTACTATAGAAAACATTAAAAGCGATTAAAGTCTGAATGGAAAATGACAGGTACACACTGAGGAACGTAACGCTACGCGTATATTTTAAATGAATCTGCCTTTAAAAAAGGAAGCTTCAAAAGATTAAGAAGTCATGGAGATACAGACTTAAATAAGAAACGTGTCTTAAAGAAACATCTTGAAACAAAACGATTGTGTTACATCTCTAGAAATATTCACGTCACTTAATTATTTAAAAATCTTAAATAGCGAAGACATTTTTCTCCAACAAATGATATATTACACTGTACTGCTCCGTTTGTTAAACGGTACTGTGGAATTAGCTCTTTGCTCCTAGGTAGACAGAAAAATCAAATCAAACAAAATGTACAGTATTGGGATTTCTTCTCTGGGCAGAACAAAAGGTCAGAAGCACAACCATGCAGATTATTGAATAAAATGTTACTGTAAAGCAACAACAGTCATTTTGCCTCAGAGCGGTGCATGACATGAAGCCAGCAGCAAGAAGCGTAATTGCTGAACTCCTACAGTATGCCGTTACTTAACTACTTTTATGTTCTTTCATGCTACTAGGAGGGCTGCTAAAATCCCATTAACGCAAAAACAAGAACACTACATCGTCCGTGCTGTGGGCTTCTAGACTCGAACATATTACTGACATCGTGTACATCTTCTTAAGAATGTAAACCTAATTGAATTACGCAGCCAGGACTTCAAAAGAGACAAAGTTGTTCGGTTAGCGCCACAGTACCTCACCGCCGAGAAAAAGCACACCAACTCGTACTGTTAGTCTTAGCGTTAAACCAGACGGGGCTGTATTTTTTTCACATCATTTACATTTTAATAAGCTCTGGATTGTAACTTGGAGATCAGACCACCATCAGTGCGGCCGCAGTCAACTGAATTCGGTATAAATCCACCACACGGCGTGAACAAGATATTTTGTGGTGGTGCAGAAACTATTTCTTGTTTCATACCTACAGTACTGTAGATTCTGCGGCGCTGGATGGAGACTGAGATCCCAAGATTTCATGTTTGACTACACTAATTTCTAGACATCGTTCTTATCGACAAACGCTGTTCTGTATATCTGTATATACAGTATCTGCCTGGAGGGAGGCTTAATTTTCTCAAAATAGCTCTGCTATATAGTATATACATAGTTTTTTTTTTTTGCTAGTCACATCTTTCCTTTTCCTTTTCGTTTGTGTTTTGAACTGTTTGTTTTATTATCCCCGCATAAACAAAAAATCAGCAAACGCTGATTTTAAAAAGCAGCTACAGTAGCGCATAAGTGCAGATGTTGATAATTCCACAATAGCTATAACATATCATTTGTATTCGTTGTTGTGGATACAATTCAGCACTCTGCGGAGTCGAGCGCGCATACCAAAATCACCTCCGGCAGTACATCTTTTTTTCTTCTTCTTAGAAAGAGGCTGTTATAAAATCAAATAAATGAAAGGCTAATTTTATTAGACCCTCAAGGTCTACCTTAATTATTAGGCTGTCGGTGGCGAGAAGGGTAACCATTCCACCTTGCGCAAAACTCTTCAATCTTAACTGTTTCAGACGGAAGGCACTGCGCTCGAAAATACCGTAGCAAGAAAGCTATTACTAAATCGGTGTACGTGTTAGAGCGCTCAGGCGGCGCTTTTATTCGTCTTTCAAACCACAGGCAGAAATATCCGCAGTTGCATTTCTCACCACTTTAGTTGTCAACGTGCCGTGCCAACGTTTTAAACTATGCTGATAGCTTTGAAACACCAAGACTATAGGCGACAAATCCAGAGGGAGGATGCGATTCATACCCTATTTTGTGACTTTGGGATCTTTTCAATCCAGACACACACCAAAAAAAAAAAGAAAGAAAGAAAAAAAATGCAACAAATAATGATGCTAAAAGCAAGTAACAGAGTAAAAGACAAATTATCAGGAGTGCAGCACAAACGGAAAGGATAGAAACAACACAGAACGTGGTGCATTAATTCTGGTAAAAGCACACCAGCAATCCCAGCAAAGCCAATCACAACATTAGTATTCAACTCCAGCCACGTTTGGAGATAGCTACAGCTACACATTACAGCAGTTATTATACAGCCAAAGATGAGTAACACTTACCATTCGCAAGAACTGCTAAAAGCATTCCGACCAGCACGATTCGCAAGAGAGGGTCGCTCATTTTGTGTATTTTGATGTATTTTCCTCCTGCCAAGATGTTCTTCTGTATCTGAATCGAACTCAGTCGCGGTCAAATATTTTTTTTTTTAAATTTTACTGATCAGTTCAGAACACTTCAAGTCAGTGGGAATTGTTCACGACTGACAGGTAAGTTTAAACAGCAATGTCTCTTTCCTTTTCCCTTCCTTGATACAGGTTAATAACCCCGTCCAAAAGGATGCTGTTTTTAAACGTGGAAATACTGTACATGAAAACAAAAAAAGCGTGCACTATCAAAACAAACCAAGAACAATCACAACAAATTATTCCCAAGACTGTAAATTCTCACGAAAAAGCACCAGCGGTCTTCTTTAGAAGGCAGGCAGATAACTGTAAATACGCATTAAGATACAGCTAAATTGTTTTTTTTTTTTTTTGGAATTCACTGCGTTTTCAGCCCTGCACCTTGCATTGCATTGCAAAGGAAAACTAAGCAAACCACAAGAAGCTATGACAGACAGCTCAAGGATACTGCATCGGCCAATCCGTGGGTCGAAGGAAGTAGGCGGGATTTTGAACTGGTCCAATTAACAGCCCAGAGGGAGGGGTTTGACCAATAGTGGGGATGTGTGGGAGGAGTCTTTGGGCAAATAATGCTGCTGTATTACTTCAATTTGATTTATCGTACGCTTAGAGTTGCTGCAGTATCGAAGATAGGGTAGTCAGAAGAGACCACTGCTGGTAATAACTACAGAAAGAATATGAGGGAATGGGGTGGAGGGAAATAGGGGGCGGATAGATGCTGTGCAGATAAGAATAATGCATGGTTTCATACACTCTATGTGGGTGTGTTTTAAAACACATGCAAAGACATGGGACAGATAAGCTTTAAAATCCAAAAAAACATCCTTCATCTATAAAAAAAAGAATTAAATTATTATTTTACTCATTTTGAGGAGATACTGTAAATACACATGCAATAAACTTAAAAAAATATTAGTCTTTACATGTTTTGAGAAAAAATACTGATTTTTGGTAATGATCAAATGTTTTAGGTGTCATTTTGGGTAATTGATCATTCACGACTGTGATACACTCAAGTGACTTTAAACTGCTGTAAAAGCATTAAATCACCTCAGAGAGATCTGATGAGGCAGTTTAACCTGTTGAATGTCAAGCCTTGTGAAAATCAAGGCAGAAATACACTGAAAGGAACTATTTCGCTATGCTGATCAGGAGAACAACATCTTTGTGTCATTGGGTCATTAGAGAAACAACTCAGGTTTATTCTTCAGCAGTCCATCTGAAATTCGCTTAAGCAATGAATCAAGGTTTTATGTAGTTCCTGATGGATGTAAGGCGGAGTGGCACAGATGGGCACCTTTTGTGTACAACAGGCTACTCGATGGGGAAGTCCAAGTGTGGTGGTCTGGGCAGGAGTTTCTAGTTGCCACAGAGCTCTACGTGTAGTGAGTGATGACAATCTGACTGACTGCATGGAGCTACATTGATTAAGTTCCGACTTGCTGCCCTTCCTGTGAGCTAATCCCGATGTGACAACATTCCAGCAGTACAGCACGTCCCCCTACTGTTCATGTAACAACAACTTTCTTGTGGGATGTGCTGTGGATGTCCTGCTCACTAGGCATGAATCTTGTGGAACACCTGTAGAAAGATGAGTGACATCTAGGGCTCAGAGACAAGTGAGCAGTTTCAAGCTCTATGAGATGATTGTACAGAATCCCTGAAAAAGACAGCATTTGTAACCAGTTGCAGAGCATGTGTCACAAATGAACAGCATTAATTAATTCCAATAGGGGATACACATGCTTCTACCATGATACTTCCACAGAAAATTCTCTATTGATCAAGTTTGCTACGGACAGCTGTTAATAAACATATATTACTTATGTGGTGGACGTTCAATAAAATGTCAATGCACCTACTACAAAAAAGATAAAGCTTTTCCTATTATAAATGTGTTGCAGTTATATGCGACAAGTTTCGTATGGTGCACAGTATACAATTTTATCTTAAAAAGCTAATGCATTCTTAAGCATCATATTCCCTAATAGAGGAAAACATGTGGAATGATTAGGCACTGAAGAAATGAGAATTTATCTATGCATTAACAAAAACATAACAAAATACTTTTATAACCTCAAATTGTTTCTGTGGTTTGCTTCGATTTTTCATATGTATAAACCAAATCCAGCTTTTGTGCTACTTTCTAGTCACTTCTAAGATATTTTAGGAGCAAAAGCAGACACAGTTTAACCACAAAGGAAATAACCTATAGTCAAGGTGCCATTTTGAAGTGAGCTCAGGGTAGTAGCCTATCAACAAGCAAGAGGATTTACAGTAAGGATCAAAAATAAGTTTTACATTATCCTACTGTATGTAAGAGATTTTCTTCTCCATGTTAATCATACACCAGTCTGTATAAGAGCACTGAAACTTCCTGCCTGTTGAGAAATGCTGGTGACTGTTTCTTATCACGCAGGTTCCTCCTAGCGCTGAATAAAATTTTTCTTTTGATTGCCTTTTCACTTTCAACTACTGTCTGGTTATTTAGGTTCCTCAAAAGGGATCTTTTCCTTTTCCCAACCCTTCAGGCACAGACAGTCAAATTATGCTCTTTGACATTGTTTCATCATGGTAGAATAATAACTGTTGCAAAACATATATTTTGGGACTAGACACATACATTTGTCTAGAAATGGAATTTTTACCAGAATGTTTAAATTTATATAGTTAATCCCAAGTAAAGTAATACAAATGCAACTGGGACAAAACTGCACAAACGTTTTATTTTTCCTCCATATTGTTTAATGTTTGAACTATAACAGACTCCTAATCTCTGAAGAACATTCTTGTTTAAACATGTAAGCATGCCTAAATATACAATACAGAAGGTGTAGTTAGTTTTCATTAAGAAAAGCAGTCTTAAGAACATAGGAAAGCTGAAAATTGAAGGAAAGTTATTTGGCCATCTCACTTATCTGCCATACTGCTTGTTGTAACTATAGCAGGTTATCAATTTAAAGAAAGCAAAAGCAAATGCCATTTTACATACTAAGATCCCTCTCTGGCAACACAGAAAGATGGTTGCTGTGGATATCCTAGCCATTTCAATTCCATCTAATCCATGTGGGTCAATTGTTTTCTGCTACTTGTAGAATTGTGGTCAAAGTTGGTTAATGTCATAATTAAAACTCAGATCCATTGAGCCTCTCAGCCTTCCATAAAATTCTTTATAATGGACCCTGGTGCCGCTGCTGCTATATTTAGACACTTAGAACTCACTGCATAAAGAAGCGGTGTCCATATTTATTATCCACAGAGGGATATGGAACCTTATTTAAGCATTGTAAATAGATAGGCAAGCTTTCAGATGTCGGTATATCAAACAGTTTCAAAACGTCCCATAAATCGAATCTTCTAAAAGCCACTTCACGTAAGAAATTGTATATAATATACTGTACAGTACACACAGACATATACATGTATATATGTACTGTATAGACACACACACACTGCTACTTGTGGCACATAAAAAGTGCACATATTTACTCTTTTTATAGCTTTTGCTCTTTGGGTGCTGACAATGATAAATCTACTGGAACATCAACATTTTTTGGTGCACTTACATTTTACAGCACTCATTTTTTCAAAATGCATTGGATTTGATTTTCTCTGTACAGAATCTTAAACACCTTTTTACTGCTTTAAAGTTTCTCTTTAACTTGACTGTTCTCTTAAACTTTCCTGAAACTTCTGGGATTAACAAACCCAGGAGAGCAGAACATCAGGCCTAGACATTGTAGAAACTGCTCACAAGACATCATAATTAATGTAGCACAAAAACCCATTGCCTGGAGGAGGGGAAACCGATGGGCCTATGACCCCCAGAAGTTTCTTTTGTCTCAATTGGGGTTTTTGTTTTCCTCTCCGCTTGTTGAATTCTGAACTGTTATTATATCGCAAACTTCTATAGAAAACTGTAAAGAGTTCCTAGTGAAAAGTTTTGTGAAGGGTGATGTTAACTATTTGTGAGTGTTAGCTGTCAGCTGTAATTTTTAATATATTTTTATAGTGTATTTAGCTACAGTAGCTTACTGGCACCATAAATTCTGTTGCTTGAACCTTTTCAGATTATTGTAGGTCTTCATGCCCTTCATCATTAAAATATATTGCATGTCACCTAAAACTGGCTTAGGAAGATCTTTTATTAAGTTTAAGTTAGGAAGTTTAAGAATCATCTGTTTTTATTTTCCTACTTCCTCTTAATCATCAGAATATTTTAGGCATCACAACTCAGTAGTTACAGCACTCATTTTGGGGATGCACAGGAGAAAGGAGTACAATACACACATACAGTATTCTCAGATAACAAAATTCCTGTCAGGCCACCTGCTGCTTAATTGAGCACAATGCATCCCAAAAACATGAACCACAGGGTTTAGGGTAACAAAGGGAAGACAGATGTAGCTTTGACTAAGAAAACAGCATACTCAGAAGCGGCTTGCCAGCTATGAAGGTTGTCTTCATGCAGCAAGCTGAAGATATCCTGTACAAAACCAGAATCTATTCACCTGGTAGTGCTGAGCCAATTGCATGTTACCACTTGGGTCCCAGCTGTCTAGTGAAAAAGCTTTAACTATATCCGCAAAAACACCTGGATCACAGCTTAAATAAACCCAGAATTTTCTTTTCCCCACTCAGGAATGAAAAATCAAGTTCAGAATGGAAATTCATACATAAAATACAATCTGTGGATCATGCTGAAAAATGATATAAACATCCCCTAACCATGACCTTTACACGTCTTAATGTGTCTATAAAACCTCTAGTTTTAAAATCAATTTTTCATTAATTACACGGTGTGTATTTAAATTAGCTAGTAATTTAAATAGTGTATACTGTATACTTGTTCCTATACAGTATATGTCAGGATACTTGGTTTATACCAAATTACTGTTTAAAATAATTTGTATTACTTTATTTGCCAAGCACTACATATACTGTACAGTAAATGTCAGCAAACTCCCCTACCCAACTCTCCTTCAAGAAAAGGGCAATTTAGAATTGACAATCAAACATAACAACTGACAAGTGCAGCTCTAATTTCCTGCCAGAATTTGATCACATACAGCACCACTCACAAGACCGTGCACAACTCCATCAAACCAAAAAGATTGGCAGCAGAATTTTTCATTGTTTTGTCTCGAGTTAGTGGGGAATGATGTCACTTCCATAACCCACTCAGTGTAGTGAGCCCTATTAGACACTCATGTCCTTAGAAGGTGTGAGGCCACTAGCATCAAAATGAACTACTGTTGTATTGTCACAAAGCAGTTCTTTCCAGGCCCTATGCAGATGATGCAATCCAGAATTGTGAAGATACACTGGGGAAAAAGTCATGCAGGAAAGGGTCTGGATACAGGGGGGCGTGTCCGAGGTGAGCAGGTGTCCTGGGGAAGTGAGTCCGGGCGAACAAACAAAGCCAAAGTCCAAACCGGGAATCCACATGGAAGAGTAGAGTCCAAGGCCAGGAGATCCATCCAAGGGTTAAAAGCATGAGCCGGGTCGGGACCGGTGGGGCAGGGGATCAGGAACAGGATGTT